GAACCTCTGTGGTATAATACCTGTGAATTTCAGTGGTGCAGACTCCTTCGGGTATCTTGATGTCCTCTGTTTCCACTTACTCCTTTTTTCGTGTATGTGTAAACATTTGGAGGGGGAGGCAAAATGGTTTATGACAGCATAAGAGTTTTTTATGACATTTACAGTCACAGCCGGTAGACAGAGACAGGCGATCTTTAGGCTATATATTGTGTTAACCGTATTCTTCCACTCAACTTGCCACTTTTACGAGAGGATGGACAAAAGATTAGCTTCTTTTTGGGGAGGGAAGGCTTGTTAGTTGTAACTAGAAAGCAGTGAGGTTTTAGATGGTCAGATTTTGAGGTAAGGTGAGTGTACGGAACAGTAAATAGGTGTAGTGTGTGAGCAAATAGAGTTAATCACTACAGTGATAGAATTCAGGGACCTGTACAATGGGCTAAGATCCGGGAGATGTGTTGTGAAGTATTTACTGTTGTATAGATCAGCTATTATTTACTCTAATATTAGAGCAGCACTCGTATAACAATCTCTATGTGATCTGTCTGAGTAGGGGGTATAGAGCTTTAGGTAGTGTGTTAAAGGAAAACAAGTGGTGTGGAGTTTAGAGGATTAGCAAAGCACTGTGGAGGAAAGGACAGGGGGAGCCTGTCTAATAATACACTATAACTACTCAAGACTGAGAAGCCTATACAGAAAGAGGAGGAATACAGAGATATTATTAAAATATAAAAGTGAGAATAATGAAAAAATATGCAACACCTCGTGGTTTCTTTGCTATCGCAAAGTGAAATTTGTCTCTCTGTTTCTCCTGTTGAGATGCCCCCTCTTTGGGTCCCATTCTGGTCCTTTCACAGTTCCTAGCTGTTTGTGTCTCTTGTGGGTAAAAGGAAACGAAGCAACAAACAAACAATCAAACAAAAAGGCAGGAGAAGGGAGGCAAAAGCGATGAGTTTAAGAGGAAAGGAAGGACTAAAACACGGAAAAAGAAAGGAGAGGAACGAAGTATAGAAAGATAAAGCAGTGATAAAATTTAAAAAATATATAAGATTAGTAAACAAATGCACAAACAAGTTACTAAAAAAAGGGGGGAAAAAACCCCAAACAAACAAACAAACCAACAGCAACAAAAGAAACAATAACAACAACAGAGAAACCCTTCCCTTGTTGGTTTCAAACTGTCCAGACTGGTTTTTCTGGTTGCGGCAGGATCTCTCTGTGGGCTTGGATACTGGCGCGAGCGTGCGCACCAGCCAGGCTACCAGATTGGGGTGTGGGCACCTGCACACTCGCCCAGCTGCTTGGGTCCCACGCGTTCTGGCATGGTCCTTCCCGGTCCTGAGACAGGACTCAACCGCTTCTGCACCTGTGCACACTGGCCAATTGAAAACGGCAAGGCACTTCCCAGTCCTGTGTGGGGACTCAAGAGGCTTCTGCACCTGTGTGCACCTGCCAAGCCATCTGGGATCCGGGAAACCAGCAGGGCGCTTCCTGGTCTTGTGGCGCCAACCCCTAAGTCTCGGTGCCCGAGAGACCGCCAGGCAGTCTGGGATCCGCGAAACCAGCAGGACGCTTCCCAGTTCTGTGTTGCCGACCCCTAAGTGTCCGTCTCCGCCGGGTCTTCAGGGACCTGCGAAACCGGCAAGGCGCTTCCCAGTTCCCTGGCAGTGGCTCAGAGACCTCCGGGTGGCCAGGCTGGCTGGGAGCCAAGAAACTGGGAGGGTGCTTCCCAGTCCTGTGGCGAGTCCCCAAATGCCTCTGCCTTCCCCCTGGTTCGCTGCAAGGCCGGGTGGGAAGCAAGCTGAGCTGTCCTGGCAGGAGAACACCTCAGTCCACTTTAAAAAAAAAACCAAAACTCTCCAGACAGCCTGCCTCTCAGTCCAGCCCAGTCCCCAGCAACACCAGTGAGGCCAATGCCCTCTCAGTTCTCCCAGGCTTGCGACCACAGAGTCTGCAGTTGAACCGGGCCCTGTGTCTTTGTAACCCTCCCTGATAATGCAAGCAGGCAAGCAGACAGGTCTCTGCCCAGTGTTGTTCAGTTTTGCTTATACAGGGAGCAGGGAAGCTGCTGGCCCGTGCTGGTGGCCACTGGGGCCACTGGGTGCTCAGGCTCCTGTGGCAGACACCTCTGGTGTTGGTCTCAGACCGATGGCTCTGGTCCCTGGCCATAGAGGCAGCACTGGGACCACCTGGCCGGAGGCGCCGGCCCCCACAGCTGCTTTGTCTTTACTCTGGTCCCGAAGACCCCACTGACCTGCTGATTTCTGGTGTTTCAGCGTCCATCACAATCTCTGTTCTTTTAGTTTCACAAATGCTGGATAACTGATGGATTAGTGCACTGCTTCTCTATAGATCTGCCAGGATTTTCACCCATGAGTAGGGGAGCTAGAATCCGCTCCATCTCACTCCGTGGCCATCCTCCCAGCACTCCAACACCATTTGTTGATGAGGCTTTTTTACTCCATTTTATGCTGCTGCCCCCTTTGTCAAATATTAATTGAGCATAGAAACTTGGGTTTATTTCTGGGCTCTCTAATCTGTTTCATTGGTCTATGTGTCTGTTCTTAGGCCAGTACCAGGCAGTTTTGATTAGCATGGTGTTGTACATGCTACAGTGTGATATCAGGTTTTGTGATCCCTTCTACTTTGTTCTTCTTTCTCAAAATTGTTACAGCTATTTGGGGTCACTTATAGTTCCATACAAATTTCTGAAATGTTTATTCTATATCTGTTAAATATGTCATTGGTACTTTAATAGGGATTGCATTGAATCTACAAATTGCTTTGGGTAGTATGAACATTTTGATGATGTTGATTCTTTGCATCAATGAACATGGTACATGCTACCACTTGTTTGTGTCTTCCTAAATTTCTTTCTTCAGTCTTGTGTAGTTTTCTGAGTACAGGTCATTTACCTCCTTGGTTAGGTTTATTCGTAGGTACTTTATTTTTCTTGTTGCTGTATCAAATGGGATGTTTTTTCCTACTTCTCTTTCTGATATTTCATTGTTGGTGTTCAAAAATGTCTTTGATTTCTGGATATTCACTTTGTATCCTTCTGTTTTGCCAAATTCACTTGTTAAGTCGAGTAGTTTTTTGGTGAACACTATAGGATCTTCTATGTACACTATCATGTCATCTGCAAACAATGAGTTCTGCTTCCTCCTTTCCAATTTGGATTCCTTTTACTTCTTTTTCTTGCCTGATTGCTGTGGCTAGGACTGCTAATATTATGTTGAATAGCAGTGGTGAAAGCAGACATCCTTGTCTTTTTCCTGATCTTAGAGGGAAAGCTTTTAGTTTTTGTCCATTGAGTATGATGTTGGTTGTAGGTCTCTCATATATGGCCTTTATTATGTTGAGGAATGCTCCCTCTATTCCCTCTTTGCTAAGTGTTTTTATCATGAATTCATGCTGTACCTTATCAAATGCTTTTCCCGTATCTATTGATATGATCATGTGATTTTTGTCTTTGCTTTTGTTTATGTGGTGTATTACATTTATTGATTTGCGAATATTGTACCATCCTTGCATCCCTTAGATGAATCCCACTTGATCATGGTGTGTGATCTTTTTAATGTATTGTTGGATGTGGTTTGCCAATATTTTGTTGAGGATTTTAGTATCTATGTTTATCAGTGATATTGGCCTTAAGCTTTCTTTCTTTGTTATGTCTTTATCTGGTTTTTGGATTAGAATGATGCTGGCTTCATAAAGAATTCAGGAGTATTCTGTCTTCTTGGATTTTTTTGAATAGTCTGTGAAGGATAGCGGTTAGCTCTTCCTTAAATGCTTTGTAGAAATCCGTTAAACCATCCAGTCCAGGGCTTTTGTGGGATGGGATTTTTTTTTTATTACTGCTTCAATTTCATAAGCTGTTATGGTCTGTTCAGGCTTTCTGCTTCATCTTCATTCAGTTTGGGAAGATCATATTTTCTAGAAATTTGTCCATTTTACCTAGGTTTTCAAATTTCTTGGCACATAGTTTTTCATAGTAATTTCTTACAATCCTTTGTATTTCTGTGGTATCAGTTGTAATCTCTCCTGAGGAAGAGATCTTTGGATAACATTTTCAATAGGGTGGCTTTGGGAAAGCCTTAAGACAGGAGTGTCCAACCTTTTGGCATTTGGGCCACACTAGAAGAAGAGTTGTCTTGAGCCATAGTAAATACAGAAACACTAGCAAAAACTGATGAGCAAAAAAAAAAAAAAAGTTCATGCATAATTTTCATGGTATTTGCCACCACCAAAAATATGCAAAAAAGTTCTCACATAATAACCCTAATTATGTAGCAGCCCTTTCAACAATGTTTTAAAATCATTGAGCAGGTCCCAAGTTTGTGATCATTGATATAGAAAATGTACATATCTAAGTAATATAAATTAGTATAAAATTTAGTGATAAAACTAAGTAATGTTTTAAGTAAATTTACGATTTCGGGTTGGGCCACATTCATAGCTATCCTGGACCACAAGGTGGCCACCTCTGTATTAAGATTTTAAGTTCATTTCTTTGAAGGGTTCTGAATGTGAAGTAAGTTTAGTAAGTTTAAATTTAATGAGAACCAACACTTGTGGTAAATTGTTGTAATTCTTTAACAGAGGTTCATAACAAATTAAGTAATAAATGACAAAATTTTCTCTAAGAGACCTCCAGCTGCAAAAATACCTACTATTTCCTAATTTAAGGGTGAGCAAACTTTCAAAATTGTGGAGTAAGATTTCTCTGATGTGAATATGCAGGAAATGTTGATCTGCTGCTTATCCATCATTAATTCTCTTGAATGGAAATAAGGTCTTACAATGATATCCCTCACCAGTAACAGCAATAAAAAGAAAATAGTTTGGTAAAGCATCCACACCAAGTACTCTCTTTAGAAAATGTAGATATAATCTCAGTGCTTTATAATTCAAACCATACACTCCCAGGCAAAAGTACATATACGAAAAGCAGTTCAAGTGTAATAATGTACAGTGGAAGACAACTCCACAAGAAAACTCACCACCACGTCTCCCTCCTGTGGAAGGCTGTTGGCTGGCAGTCTGTTTTTCTCCTCATTGTTATGGTAGAGAGCTCCATCATTTCTCATCACCAGGCTGTGCACATCTCGGCCAAGAGGAATCTGATTCAAGTTAACTTTCTGAGTTGCAACACCAACACCCCAGATTCCTAAAAATATAATGATATTTCTAAAAATACAATGAACTATTTGTTGTTAATTTTTTACCCCCCAAGAAGTCTTTAAAAAGTAGTGTACAAATTATACTATGTTCTCTGCAGACTTAGTATAGCCTAGGAGATAAGAAAGAGAGTGGGCTCTGGAGTTGTATTGCCTAGGGTTAAATCCTGATGTAGCTATGTCATCTTTGTTAAGTTAGTTATGGTCTCTTTGCTTACTTATCTGTGCATTGTGTATTCCAACAGTACTTACCTTACAAGGTTATTATAAGACATAGTGAGATAATTCAAGTAAAGCACTTGGAATTGTGTACATACTCCAAAAAAATGGGTAAATAAAGCACAGAATAAATATCTAAAAATATATAGCTATTTTCATTATTATTTTTTCTAAAAAGGTTTTTTAGAATCTACCCATTGAATTTAAATGGCATGGGGTTCTATTTCTAGCACTATCTTGAAGAATTGGAAATTATTATCTTTAGTTTTTGCATCTATATTATGTGACACATAATACATGACTTGGTCAATATCATGGAGAAGAGAAAATTATTGATAAAGTGTAAAATCATTTTCTTATCCAATAGTTAAATCAGTGAATTTAAAGCCTTTTGGACTAAGCTGACTTTTAAAGCAAGCAGCTCTTCTCTTAACCAGCCAAACACAATACCTAGATCTCTGGATTTTGCCTCAAACCATCTCCTTCCAGTTCTTATCAAAATCAGGACAGTCTGTATAAATGGAAGAAGATATGAAGACCACCTTATCAGTCAATTTTTCTGGATTGAGTGAGACCATCAAAATGCTGCATGTCTGAACTTCACAGTATTGTCCTCTTAAATAATTTGACTATTATAATTTATCCTCTAAAGTGGGATAATTTTAAGAGTAACAAATGGAAATATAATTAATTTCAAAGGACAACAGTTCTAATAGTGTTATTAGAACTGCTAAAGAACAGTGCATGCTGTAATATACTTTGGCACAATTGTCTCAAGCTTTCTTTGAGATCCATACTACAAACCCCAGCAACACATTTATCCTAGGGATATCATCCTTTACAGAGAATTCACGTACAAATTTGTGTTAGGTTTCAGGCTCAAGAAAATATTTGCTTCTCTGGAAAAAAGGTATGTTATACTTCAAAAGATCACGGTAACCACAGACATTTTGTAGCCAGTGAATCAACTTATAATAACAATTCAGTGGAGGACAGATTGTATTTATTGCATATGGGGGACAATTTTCTTATTGCATAAGAAAATCAGTATTTAAAAATAATTAGAAAAACAATCTTCACAGGAACATTTTATATCATTCAAGCCAGTTGGGTAAGAGTAGGATTGATTTACTTCACTCTAGTTTTCCTATTCTGTACCTATATTACTCATGCTATATTTCACTAGAAGTTTCTTCATAATAAAGCTTTAAAAAATGTTTTCCCTATATTCAAATGTCACAAGTTAACTGATTATTAGCTATAATACTCATGTAGAATTGTTATACAATTCAAGAAACTCCATAAAATTTAAAAGAAAGCATGGACTTTAGACTTCTGTCAGAATTCTAAATCTGCTGATTACTTCAGATAAGAGTAAATCAGGGTATCTTAACAAGAATTAAGAGAAAAATTCAGGATAATAAAACTGATGTTATTCTAAGAAGTAGGATCTACACATTAAATGGTCAACCAAATGAAATATTGCACCTGCCATTAATAATTATATTAGTAATAATGTTAGAGCCTCACAATGATCTAGTATGTCCTGTCTTTAAAACACTTCCACAAAACATAGCTCATATAGATGAGAAAACTAATTTAATTAAATAATTAAATTAGAATCACACAAGAGAGAAAATGCCTTCTAAATTTAGAGCTTTTTTATTACCTCATTGAACTTTATATATTGAAAATTATTCCTAATATTTTGAATGATTAGGACTTTTAATAATAAAGTACCATTATACCAACCTGTGGACTGGATTTTGAATTCAAAGTAGCTTTTGTTTTGATGTAAAGGTGCACTGGCTAAACAACCTCCTGTTCCACATATTCTTCTTCCATTTTTTACAATAACAACATCTGTTCCTAAACAAAAAATTCAGACACTGTGTAAAGTTTTATATTTTCTTATTCAACAATTAAGGTTAATTTCTGTTTCATTTTTTTCTTAAAGATTTTATTTATATATTTTTAGGCAGAGAGGAAGGAAGGGAGAAAGAGAGGGAAACATCAATGTGTGGTTGCTTCTCGTGTGCCCCCCACCAGGGACCTGACCTGCAACCCAGGCATGTGTCCTGACTGGGAATTGAACCAGTGACCCATTGGTTTGCAGGCCAGTGTTCAATCCACAAAGCCACACCAGCCAGGGCTCTGTTTCACTTTTAACTCTCGGTCTACAAAAAACAAGGACACTAAGTATACTCTGATATATGGAAATAATAAATTATATTAAATATTTAATTCCCTGTTTTTTTTCTGAGAGAACATTTATACTTAATATTCATTTGTGGCTACAAATCCTGTTTAATTAGGCAGTTTCAAACTCTGAATTATGCAGAGTATTTAAAATACTTTAAAAATAGAAATAAACTTTATTTTTAGCCAATGGATCAATTTGATAGTTTCATAAATCTCTTAATTGAAATAAAAGCATAAATACTTAGAGAGTTTCATAAATTGGTATAATTTTCAATTCAATCCAAATGAATTAAAACAATCTACTAAAAACTGGCTGAATATCTACTAAGTACAAAGTACTATGCTAGTGCATTAGTCAAGTAGTATACAGAATATGGACAGAAATAGTCTTTGTTCTTGAGATAGCTAACACTGAAAAATGGTAATTTTAGGATCTTAAAAATGTTTATAAGATAGCTGCTGTCAATCATATTGCAAATATGTAAAAAAAGGTTTAACATCACTAAAAGCACTTTATTCCCATAGTAATTTTTAGTTTAGTTCAAATAACATTTGATAAATGAGACAGAAAAATTGTCTCTTTTTTAAGGAAAAATATTGACATCTTTATTCTATTACTCATCTATTTATGCAATATGCATTTACTGAATACCTTTTATATAGGCATTGCGGGAAGAGCTATGGGAAATGAAAAGAATAAAAGGTAGACTTGTCTTCAGATTTCATTCTGGTAAAAGAAATATCAAAAATCAAAGTAGTACATATACAAATTAATGTTTTAGTAGCTATTACAGGTTATACATACATAACAATAATTTACAAAGACTTCATTTAATCTTCCCAATAATCCTTCAAAATAGGCATAAGTAATTTAATTTCAGATAAGTACACAGAGTCTTAGAGAGGTTAAGTAAATTGAACAAGACAAACAGTTAATAAATGGCACAGGAAGTATTTAGCACCCAGCATGGCTCTAAAACTACCTGTTATGGTATGCCTTGTATACAAAGCAGTCTTCCTTTAAGATAGATTCAAAGAAAATGTTATTAGTCTAGTTATTAGTCTTCACAAATAAAAAATAGTATGATCCATAGGGACAAATGAAATAGTTTGTAAAGATAAAGAAGGTAGTATCACCAGATAGTTCACAGGTAAATTATTTATGTTAGGGAAAAGTACAATTGAGTTTGAATTGATCAATTGGTTTTCTAAACTGATTCAATTTTCTTTGGTTAGGTCTATGTGTCTAAAGCCTGCAAGAAAAATTTCATGTATTCTATAACCCTGGCCAATCTATATACCTTCTTCCAATTTAGGAGGGACCAAAAGTATCATTGCTTTTATAGTGCAGTGGTTCTTATTATCCATAGTGAACCCAGTGAAATTTTTCAACTAGTGAACTTCTACTCCCATTAAGTACAAACAACTCAGTGAGCTGTATGTTTCCTTTAGGTACTGAGAAAAACTGTCTCTTGATGTAAGCCCAATCCAATTCTTTTCTAAACCTTGATTAGGTTAAGAATTTATATCAGGGAATATGAAGAGAATTAATATTACTCTAATATCTATGAAATATCCCATAATACTGAGGCATGTGACTTCCAAGATCTGTGGCCAGCACTACCACTACACTGATAATAAGTTATAAGATAAGCAGATCTGGCTATTAGAACTACATGGGACTCCTGATGGGGTTAAATAAAAACTAGGGCACAGTAACAAAAAGTATGAGCAAGGAGGCAATTATCCCATCAACTCACTATTGAGTTCATGTTTACATAAAAATTATTTGCCTCAAATGCATAATAGATATGCAAAATTTCACCACCAATCACAATTCTAAATTTTCAGATTTTTATCATAGCCACTGATTCTTAAACAAGGTAAAACTAAAATCCTTTTACGATTATTAAAAATTTACTAGCATTCATTTTTTTCTCATTATGTTAACCTCTAAATTCTGAGTAAGTACCTTTAGAAATAATTTACATGTGGCTTCAAAATATACCTCCAGCAGTTTGAACTACAGAGCATCCAGGGCTCAGCTCTTCCCTGATAACAAAGACCATGTAGGACTTGGCATCTAGCAGACACTCAGCAAATAACTGATAGAGAAATGAATGAATAAATATGCTCTGCTAAGCACTTTGGAGTAGATATGTAGCATCTGTTTTCCCTTTCCCAAAAGCTTTTCCTCTAGAAATCAAAACAGTTCCAAGGAAGCTGACTCAATCTCTTGTCTTCAGAGATATGGCTTTGACCTAAATTAAGTCAATCAGTGTGTTCCACATTTCTTGGCCACAGTGATTGAGTGAAAAATGGTTATATGACCTAAGCCACTAAAATCAGAGATAGTCTCAGGACTTTTGCACAAAATGAAGGGGTAAAGACACTCTCTTGTTCTTGTTGGACCTGAATGAGGAAGCCCAGGGAGATGCTGCAAGTCATCACGGAACCCAGTCTTCAGGAATCAACAGCACAAGGAAGAGAAGGAAAGAAACCCAGTCCTTGGCAGCAGAGTCTTTCCTGAAGCTCAAGCTACTTTGTACTTTTTTCAGTTACATGTACCAATAGATTTCACTTATTGTTTTAACAATTCTGAGTTATAGTTTGTGTTACTTGTAACTGAAAGCATCCTAAGTGAAACACATTTTAAAGAATTATGCAAATAAATGGTATTATTTTTCTTAACTGGCAATGCTTTGTGGTTCCCATATATACTAAAATCTTCTAATACCAAGCTTCTACAGTAGATACCTTACTATCTTGGATATCATCCTAAGCTCTTAAGTTAATGGAAGTATCAGAAGACCCCCATTACAATATAGTCTACTCTTAGCTGGAACCACAAAACCAAATTGGAGTACAGTATTATTCTCTATCTTCAATATCATTTCATACCTCCAAGGCACTCTGTGAGGTAGAGGATGTTTCACCAAGAAAGATATTCAGGGAACATTCTGGAGTGCTTGTGAATTGTTAGGAAATTATTTTAAGCATATTCCACTTCTTTAAATACAAAGATCCTATTTGGCTATGGAATTTGTGTAGTTTTATTAATTAGAAATTCGAGGCAAATTTGAGTACAGTCAGAGCACATATAAACACTAACAAAGAGTATGGTTTTAGAAACATCAGACACTTACTAGTAAGTGTCATCTTTTTCAAAGTAGCTACCTTGGGAGATATTCATTTCTAAAAAGTCAATTGACAATTAAATATAGAAGATATGGCAAAAATGCAAATATTTACAAAAACTATGCCACAGAAAGTGACAAAAGAGGAATTCCAAAATGGTTTTAAGCAATGCAACACTACCAAAATAAGTGACAAGTTTAAAAGAGAAAATATTTGTTTGGATATAAAATGTACAGACTGTTTTAAAAACAAGCAATCACATTCTATAGGTTATTTAATATAATCTTTCACATATCCAAATACATGCATACTTGCTCAGTGTGCTTCTCATATTTTCAACTTAAGATGAATTTAGGGCTGAAACATACTCCTAACTCAACAACAAGTCTTTCCTTTCTTGTTATTCAGTTTCTAAAAACAGGTTTCTGCTATGATTGAAGAATTTGAACTTACTGGAAGAATGGTTAAGAACATATTTCATGCAGGTAGAAAATTTGGAGATGACATTATTCTACTGAAAGGTTGCTAAACAGCTTGGGAAAAGTTGAATGAGTACAAATGACCAGCTCTTTAAAGAGAAGAAACCAGAGAAAAGGAATGCTCCAAAGAGCAGACGGCAGTAAATCAAAGTTTGGCAGTAGATAGAAAGAGCTAAGGCTGATCATAAGCTCTAGTAACTACACATGGTTGTCCTTTACTGTGTTCCCAGCAATGCCTGCCACCTGACAGTGACTCAGTTGAATGAATATCATAAATATCAGTTGAATGAATAGATGAAAAGGAAACATTCTCTGTGGGAAATTGAAGGATTTGAACATTCCTGTCTTAAATGATGGATAAGACACAACTTAAAAAGATACACATACATACCTACATATATTTACTTGGAAAAATCCAAGCATTAAATATAAATACCCAGCCCTGGCTGGTACAGCTCAGTGGATTGAGCCCGAGCCTGGGAACCAAAGGATCGCAGTTCAATTCCCAGTCAGGGCACATGCCTGGGTTGCAGGCCAGTTCCCAGCAGGGGACAGAGGAGAGGCAACCATACATAGATATTTCTCTCCCTCTCTCTTTCCCTTCCCCTCTAAAGATAAATGAATAAAATAGAAATAAATACCCATGTACAAAGTGGCATACAATGATCACATTGGCTACAGAAATACAAAAATGTAAGGAAAATCTCGGCTTCTAGAACCAAACTCCAGAAGCATGAAACTATATGGGAAAAGTCTAGGAAACAGAAATAATGTGGTGAAAGAGGCTACATAGGGGAGAGGAAGAATATTAGAAGTTTTATGCCCATTTAAATAGGAAAGTAAGGGACTTCCGCCAAGATGGAGGCATAGGTGGATAAGCTGTGCCTTCTCACACAACCAAGTTTAGAGACAACTAAATATTAGCAACAGAAAACACAGCCAGAACACAGAAAATTGAACTTTTCAGAAGTCTGTTAACAACAAATTCTTCAGCCTGACTGGTAAGGCGTAAAACCAGCAGCTGGTGGAGCGGGGTTGCACAGGAAAACTCGGTCAGACAGACTCAGGCGCGTGGAATCCAAGTGCAGGGTTGGACCTAGTGAGCGACCCAGGGATGACCAAGTGACCAAGCGAGCAACCACGGGGAAATAGCGAGGGAGCAGGACTGCGGGTTGACTGTGGTTGCGCATTGGTGTGCGGATAGACAAGCGAGGGAGTGGGCTATTGGACCAGGACCCAACCGGACCCCGCGGCCAGCAGCAGAGAGGGCGCAGCCATTTCCATGCTCTGACCCCACCTCCACATACAGCATCATAACCCAGCGACTCTGAGTGTCCCGGCCCAGGTGAACCACCTAAGCCTCTGCTCGTCACCCAGTGGCATGAAACAGCAGAGGGTGCCGCCATTTCCCCACGCCCCCACATACAGTGTCACAACCCAGCAACCTGGGAGTCCAAGGCTCTATTCCTCACACTTAAAGGGCATGAACAGACCAAAAATGGCTCAAGAAGATCTCAAAGCCCCAGAGCCTATTAATCTAAGCAATGAAGAAATAGCAAAACTCTCAGACGCACAGTTTAAAACACTGGTCATCAGGATCCTCACAGAACTGGTTGATTATAGTCACAAATTACACAAATATATGAAGGCAAAACTAGTTGAAATGAATTGAATTGCAGAGGAAACCAATAGCAATGAAAAGGAAACTGGGACTCAAATCAATGGAGTGGACCAGAAGAAAGCAAATAATGGCCAAACAGAAAAGAGTCAAGAAGCAAGAATTCAAAGAAATGAGGAGAGTCTTAGGAACCTCCAGGACATCTTTAAACGCTCCAACATCCGAATTATAGGGGTACCAGAAGGAGGAAAGGCACAGCCACCAGTGGAAAACTTTTTTGAACAAATAATAAAGGAGAATTTCCCCAATCTGGCAAAGGAAATAGACTTCCAGGAAATCCAGGAAGCTCAGAGAGTCCCAAAGAAGTTGGACCCAAGAAGGAACACACCAAGGCACATCATAATTATATTAGCCAAAATTAAAATGAAGGAGAGAATCCTAGAAGCAGCAAGAGCTAAGGGGACAGTCACCTACAAAGAAGTCCCCATCAGACTGTCAGCAGATTTCTCAAAAGAGACCTCACAGGCAAGAAGGGGCTGGAAAGAGGTATTCCAAGTCATGAAATCCAAAGACCTACAACCAAGATTGCTCTATCCAGCAAAACTTTCATTTAGAATGGAAGGACAGATAAAGTGCTTCTCAGATAAGATCAAATTCAAGGAGTTCATCATCACCAAGCCCTTATTATATGAAATGTTAAAGGGACTTATCGAAGAAAAAGAAGTTAAAGAAACATGAACAGTGAAAGGACAACAAACTCACAGTTATTAACAACCACACCTAAAACAAAAGCAAACTAAAAGGACAGCTAGATCAGGAGTGGAAACATAGAAATGAAGATCTCAAGGAGGGTTAGCAACAGGGGAGTGGGAGGAGGAGAAAGGGGGAGAAGGTACAGAAAATAAGTAACATAGACAGTAGATAGAAAATAGATGGGGGGGGCAAGAATAGCATGGGAAATATAGAATCTAAAGAACTTGAGACACAAGGACATAAACTAAAGGGGGAGTAATGGTGGGGATGGGGGGTAGGGTGGAGGGGAATGAAGGGGGGAATAGAGCAACTGTAACAGCATAATCAATTAAAAAATTTTAAAAAATAGGAAAGTAAAAAAGATAGATGCAAATGAGCAAAGTGCTGCTTTATTTTAAAATGCCCAACCTGTTGGGAAGAAGCCAATCAGATGAAATTACAACACCTTTAACAGTGACTAAGAAGGAGTCAGGTAATGGGAGGTTTTAGCTTGTAATGGCAGGCTGTGATCTGAGATGCGACTTCAGGCTTCTGCAATTTGTCGTTTTGACTTTAGGTGAGAGGAAAATCACTACCACTAAAACAAGCTTCAATCTGTAACTGATGGGCTAAAGAGAAAGCTGACTACCAGGGCTGAAGGAGCAGGGACCAGACCTAAAGCATTCTGAAGATATACAGGTTTTGATTGGAGCTCAACAGTAAAGTACTGCTGGAAGCACAGCAGACCGCTTCCCATGCCCCAAGCCTGGGCACCTCTGAAGAGCATGCTTATGTTCACTGCAGCTCCGAGGCGAGGGCAGCTCCAAGGAGATTCCTGCGAAATTTCAGAGAAAATGGGTAGGTCCACACAACCACCTCCCGATCACAGGTGCTGGGTAACCTTGAACACAGAACTGGGCCGAGATGGCCTCCGCAGGCGTCTAGCGAAGATTCAAGAGACCAAATGCTGTCAAGGCTGCGTTGCTGTGGGAGGAGCGGAGGGAGGGTGGGAGGAGCAGAGGGGGGGTGCTCAGCAGGGCAGGGCCCTGATGCTTGTGGTCCTCCCTACACACCCCAAACCTCCTACGGTGCCCGAATGGACCGTTGAGCCTGTGGAAAGGAGGGCCCTTACCCATGTGCTGTGTGTCCAACTGCACAGCCGGCATCTCCTTCAGAGGAATATGTCTCGTTCCTTCATCTCTGCAGCACCGCAGGCAGCAGAACACCGAGGCAGCCATCACACTACCCGACTCTGAGCTGCAGTAGACCCTAAACCGCTGTAACACCACCCGCCACCCCTCCTCTCTACCTCCAACCCCCCCGCTGGAACGCTGGAGGTGTCTGGGTGGTGTGCACGGATGGGTACAGCGACACTCCAGGCTGGGAGGGTACAGCACAGGCTGAGGTGTAGCAGGCCTGGACTGAAGAGCTGAGGATCTGCTGTCTGGTGCTGGGCGGGGTCAAGCAGAGCTGGGAAGGAGGCGGGGCTAGTGGCAGGGCGGGGCAAAGGGCCTGAAGGCCTGGAGGGCAGGTGGGGGGAAGGGTGTGCGCCTGTGCGTGGAGGTTTTCTCTTTTGTGGGTGCCGCTCGAGTGCACCCCAATATTGATCGGTTAGGGTGTCTGAGTCCTGTTCACACTGAGGGGTTCTCCGATGCTGTTTTTAAAACTGTGCGCCTTCCACTTCGACAATATTTTTAGGGATGAATTGACAAAGGCAAATCAGGCCTGGGAGTTGATAAGAAAGCTCCACGGTATCCCCCCAATGCTCCCAAGAACTGAAATTTGCCTCCACAGGCAGCCTTCATCCCTCCACGGTGGCTGGTTTCTGAAGAATTTCCTCAAATCCTGAGTAAACACAGGTGCCCCAGAAGTAATACCTGTTAGTGACTGCACCCTGGATGCGCACCCGAGGCTCTAAGTTGGCCCTGATGCATTTTAGGTACAGAGATGATGCTTTCCTTGGCCCTTGGTTTTGTGAGGTCAGGGGGAAGCAGTGGGCTTCTCCGGGAACCGGATCAATCGGGGCGTGGCAGGAGGGTGATTAATGAGCAGCCTCTTCCAAGATCTCCCTTCTTCGTGGACTGAGGGCTTTGAGGAGTATGAAAAGAACATTGGAGACAGCAAGAAGGCTACCGGGCCCCTAAAAGGAGCCCTCTGTTTCTACTGCCTGCTCTTGTCTGCTTCCACGTGAGAGGCTCACACAGTGGTCACACTTCATATCCGAGCCACTTTATCATCTGTCCCTGGACAATTTACCATCTTCAGATATCACTTGGTGTTTGAAATTGACAAACTTAGTATTAACCTGGCTCAAACCTCTGTTCCTAAATAAGGTTTTCATCCTGAAGGATTTCCCAGGGTTTAAGTCTTGGGAAACAAGACACAAAATGCCCACTTAATATGTAGTGGGTTCCTATGTATAACTTTTTAGTGACCTGAGTACAAATATCCTAAATTTTTCTTCACAGAATAAAAGAATTTCTTCAGGGTCTTGGGTCTCTTTGCTGTCAATACAAATGGTGTAGTTTCATTACAACACTTAGGGAAACCTCCAAGTTTTTGTGTTTTGAAATTGTTACTATAGAATTAATAATCAAGGTGATTATTAAACTGGCTGAAGGTAGATCCCCCCCCACTGTCTATAAAGTACCATCTTGGTAATCCTTTTACACATGGAATTTTCTTTTACTGAAACCCTTGACTATTATTCTGAGAAGTATTAGTGTTCTGCTTTCCCTTCCCACCCCCCACCCACAAACTGGGAAAAGGGGAAAGTTGAATACAATGTTGTAGAGAAAATTTTTCTGCCTGTCTGTGAGGTAGGCACTCTTTCACATATGTATCTAATTGGATTTTTGAAAGTTTTCAGGGTGGATATCGTCCTCATTTTATAGGTGAAGGAATAGATTTAGAGGGATTAAATAACTTTTGTAGTTTCAGATGATAAGAAAATTTAAAAGGTAGGATTCAAAGGCCATTAGTATGACTCCTAAAGCTTGAGTTTGCTCCATCAGATCATGCTGCTTCTCAAATTCTGAGATCTAACTCTTGTAATTAGTGCTACAATCCTCTTAAATGTGCTCTATTCAAAATGCAGATTTGCACTTATTTTTTGTGACCTATTAACCTCTATATTGACTGAAAGATGCCATAACTTATGTATAGACAATAAAATTAGTTTTATAAGGTGATATATTTGTTCTGAAATATTATTTAAGTAGTACATATATTAACTATATAATAAACATTCAGGTCATTTAAATTAATCACATCTTCGATGAAAAACCAGAATATTAGATGGTTGTGAATTTGCTATTACTGTACAGGCAGAATTGCCGTAGTCTTCCCTGGCTAGAAAAGTAATCTGCTGGAGCAATGCCCAGAGCACTTTGGCCCCACTGTAGCAACTCAGGTATACTCAGCATAGGAAGCCAGCAAAACCGGTTAGCTCCAGAAACAGACTTCCCTGTCTTGGCAGATGAATACCATCCATGAGCTCATAGTTCTTATTCCTTTTTATATTTAGGATTCTATTATCTTTTCATTACTACTTTCAAAGGAATTATCCTTTCTTCTTGAAAAGTACAGTGCTAAAGTTATTTTGACAGTCTTTCACAGCTATCACTTTAAATAACAATTACAAAAGGTTTTCAAATTGTTAGAAGGTCATTTATCTAAGTCAAAAACAATAACAGAGAATGACTATTTTGAAAAAAAATCTGTCTGCTTCAGCGACATATGCCAGGAACTCTAGAACCGATGGGACAATAATGTAAAGCATGTGTTTTCCAGCTGAGTTTAACACCATGTCAGGGTTTCATTTTTATTTTTAATTAAAAATTCAATTACAGTTGACATTTAATATTATGTTAGTTTCAGGTGTATAGCATAGTGGTTAGACATTTGTATAACTTACAAAGTGATCCCCCTGATAAATCTAGTGCCCACCTGACACCATAAATTATTGACTATATTCCCTATAGTGTAACTTACATCCTGGTGACTATTTTGTAACTGCCCATGTATATTATTTAATCCCTTCAACTTTTCTACCTAACCCCCTAAACCCCCTCCCAACTGGCAACCATCAGTTTGCTCTTTGTATCTATGAGTGTATTCAGTTTTGTTTGTTCATTAACTCTATTCTTCAGATTCCACATATAAATAAAATCATATGGTATTTGTCTTTCTCTGTCTGACTTAGTTCACTTAGCATAATGCCTTCTATCTCCATCCATGTTGTCACAGATGGTAGTATTTCATTGTTTTTTTATGGCAGAGTAATATTTCATTGTATTTATGCACCACTTCTTTTCCAGTCATCCACTGATGGAACCTTACATTGCCTCTGTATCTTGGCTATTGTAGTCAATAAATAATGCTGCAGTGAACATAAGCATGCATGTATCTTTTAAAATCAGTGTTTTGATTTCTTTGAATATATACCCAGAAGTGGAATTGCTGAGTCATAAATAAGGTAGTTCTATTTTTAATTAATTATTTTTATTTTTTTGTTTTTGCATTCTTTCTTTCCCTTTACTACCTTTCCACCGCCTTTTCTCTAGTAACCACCATACTGTAGTGTGTGTCTGTGAGTTTTTGTTTGTTTGCCTTGTTTGTTCATTTGTTACTTTTAGTTTTATATCCCACATATGAATGACATCATATGGTTCTTAACTTTTTCTGTCTGACTTATTTAACTTGGCATGATATTCTCAAGAGCCAACCATGTTGTCAGTGGGAATGCAAACTGAAAACCAGTTTGAAGGAAACAAATGTTTTAGGAAACTTCATACTGTTTTCCATAGTGGCTGCACTAATCTGCATTCCCATCAACAGTGTACTAGGGTTCCTTTTTCTCCACATCCTTGCTAACACTTGTTTGTTGATTTATTGATGATAGCCATTCTGACAGGTATGAAGTGATATTTCATTGAGGTATTTAGAATAAATATTTCATTTATTCTAAATGATATTTCATTTAGAATATCTCTGATGATTAGTGACATTAAGCATCTTTTCATATGTCTATTGGTCATATAGATCCTCTTTGGAGAAGTGCCTATCCAGGTCCTCTGCCTATTTTATAATCGGATTGTTTGGGTTTTTTGGATTTCAGTTGTTTACGTTCTTTATATATAGAGTCTGGCACAAATAACACACCTATTTATTACAAAATCTTTTATTATAATATCATAAGCGTGTAATTCTGTAATGTAACAATATCACACTCAAACACACCATTATGACATTTTGGGTGAAATGTTCAAATTAAAACTATAAATTATTATACCTATATTGTTACCCTACCAATCACACTCAAGCATGTCTTACTTCTGCTGGACCCTGTATTTTGGATATTAACTCTTATTATTGATGCATCATCAGTGAATATCTTCTCTCATTTTGGTAGGTTGTCCTTTTGTTGATAATTTTTCTTTGCTGTGCAGACTTCTTAGTTTTACGTAGTTCCATTTGTTCATTTTTCCCTTTTGTTTCTATTGCCTGAAGAGATATGTATAAAAAATTACCAAGACAAAGTCAGAGAGTTTACTGCCTGTGTTTTCTTTCTTTTATTTTTAAGACAGGGAATACTTTATTCAAACCCATCAGAGAAATGAACTGATTGAGTCTGTAACAAAGTGTCATGTTTTAAAGCATAGGCCAGTAATTGTATACAAATATACACTGCTACATACAAATTAACTGATCAGACCATAACTTTTCAACATTTAAAACAGAATAAACTTCCCTGTAAAAGTAGCACCATTGTGGCATTTTAACTTTAGTATTTCTCTCCTTCTTCCTCACCATCTCCTTCAACAGAATCCACACCAACCTCCTTGCAATCCTTCTCTAGGGGAGCCATGTCCTCATGGGTCTCAGAGAACTCCTTCCTCCTTGCCCTCACCCACATACCAGTGGACAAAGGCACACTTGGCTTACATCAGGTCAAACTTGTGCTCTAGGCAAGCCCAGGCCTCAGCAATAGCTGTGGTGTTGCTGAGTATACACACAGCTGGCTGTACTTTAGCCAGATCTCCACCAGGCACCACAGTGGGAGGCTGGTAATTAACTTTGAAGACGGTGGGGCACCAATCCACAAATTGGATGGTATGCTTGGTCTTGATGGTGGCAATGGCAGCACTGACATCTTTGGGAACCACATTACCATGGTAGAAGAGGCAGCAAGCCATGTATTTACCATGACGAGAATCACATTTCACCATCTGGTTTGCTGGCTCAATGCACGCATTGGTGATCTCTGTTACAGAAAGCTATTCATGGTAGTCTTTCTCAGCAGAGATGAGAGGAGCATATGTGGCCAGAGGGAAGTGGATGTGGGGATAGGGCACCAGGTTGGTCTGGAATTTGGTCAGATCAACATCCAGGGCTCCATCAAACCTAAGGGAAGCAGTGATAGAAGATACCATGTGACCTATCA